GTGTGTGTGTGTGTGTGAGTGTGTGTGTGTGTGTGTGTGTGAGAGTGTGTGTGTGTGTGTGCATGTGAGCGTGTGTGTGTGTGTCTCATGACAGAGCATTTCAGCTAAAAAAAACCTGCAGAGAGTGAGTGAGTGAGTGAGTGTGTGAGTGTGTGTGTGTATGTGTCATGACAGAGGATTGACAGAGTTGAACTACTGAATTGTGTGTGTGTGTGTGTGTGATTCTGACATTTACAACAAAGTACTGCGAAACAAACAAATATCCTGCTCTAAACCAACAAGTGCACACTGATATAATGACTGCAGGATAAAACTATCAAAACCATCGTAGCACCAAATAAACCAGGATTATAGTTAAATTTAAAACATAAAAAATATTTTTCACAAAAATATGTTAACTGTAATTAGGTAAAACCTATTTGTTAATGATTTCAAATATATAAATTAATTAAATAATTATTTATTAATAAAACCTATTATTATTATTATTATTATTATTATTATTTCAACTAACAGCCAAGGCAAAATTGTCATTTAGTTTATTTACTTTTTTATTTTTCATTTATTTTTTGATGTGCCAAAATAACTAAAACTGAAATAAAAATAAAAACATCCTGTTAGACATTTTAAAGAAATAAAAATAATTAAACTGACAAAAATCACACAAAAAATACTACAACAAAATTAAATTAAATGGGTAAAATAAAATATAATTGTAAATATTTTTTAAAATACATATTTTATGCATTTATTTGATTTTAGAAATACAGTAAAACATTTTTATTTCATCTAGATACATTTATTATTCTCATTTAGTTAAATTTGATGTACTATATCTATAACTGAAATAAAATGAAAACAAATAAATAAATAAATAAAAATAATTAAAATGACTAAAAATAAACAAAAAATAATTCAATATGTTTAATATACAGTACTTTTCAAAGGTTTGGGGTTGGTAATATTTTAAATGTTTTTAAAAGTAGTTTCTAATGCATTTATTTGATTAATCTTTATTTCATTAATTGCCAAAGCAACATTTATCATTTAGTTTACTTAATGTACTGAAATAACTAAAACTGAAAAATTTATAAAAAATCTATAGACGTTTAAATTTTTTTTTTAAAAATCACACAAAAATATTTTGTTACAAAATTCTAACTAAAATTAATCAAACTAAAAATGAGCAACATAAAGGTGAGAAAACATCTCAGCGGTTAATCTGATGATTTAAAGGTTAAATAAGAGGATTTTGTCCATCTTAAATTCAGCCGCCTTGATTATTGTAGATAAAAACAAGTCATGAATTAAGCGACACCGTGTTAGCGGTGTTTATGCGTGCGTGCGCCCTACCTGTGGTGCACTATGTAGGTGATGATGGAGGCGAACAGACAGAGCAGCATGACGGCGGTGCAGGCGTAAACCACCGGGTGCAGGAACTCTCCCGGATACGGAGGGAACGACAGCACCTTCTTCAGATCCTGACACACACACACACAGAGAAAGAGAGAAAGAGAATCAGCATCCGACACACAGATGCTGAGTTACCAGGGCAACACAGATGCTGAGTTACCACAACAGCACAGATGCTGAGTTACCAGGGCAACACAGATGCTGAGTTACCACAATAGCACAGATGCAGAGTTACCAGGGCAACACAAATACAGCGTTACCAGGGCAACGCAGATGCTGAGTTACCACGACAACACAGATGCTGAGTTACCACGACAGCACAGATGCCGAGTTACCAGGGCAACACAGATGCTGAGTTACCACGACAGCACAGATGCTGAGTTACCAGGGCAACACAAATACGGAGTTACCAGGGCAACCCAGATGCTGAGTTACCACGACAACACAGATGCTGAGTTACCAGGACAAGACA